GAGCAACCACGTGCGACCGGTTCTTGCCTTTGCGAGACACCGTTTCCGGTACGTCGTATCCATAACAGAATAAAAAGAACTATTAAACTTACTATATTTGGTCTACCATTCATACAATACTGCGAAAAAAATGTGTGGATGTAAATATTATAATTTTCAATCAATTAAATCATTATTTTATCATTATTAATTTACATATTTTTCTATATTTTGTATATATATTTTTTATATATATTTATATATTTTATCTATATTTTTATAATCGTATTATTTAAAGTATATATTTATAAATGCTATATGTATTTAATTAATTATTTTATCATTATTAATTTACATATTTTTTATATTTTTTATAATCTTATTATTTAAAGTATATATTTATAAATGCTATATGTATTTAATTAATTAATAAGTGCTAGGTGCTATAAGTGTATTTATTTAAAATTAATAAATGCTACATTTATTAGAAATTAATAATCAATACTTACAAAATTCATCTGTATTTAATAATGTGCGCAGAACGTACAGAGATTGCGTACACTCGATTGCATGAATAAATGTTGCATTGCTAATCGATTGTCTATAGCTGCTTCCTCGATATTCCAATAATCTGTTATTTAAATTGTTTGGAGATTCATATAGTACAAGTACTTCGAATGGCGCTGTTTTTATTCCGATTAATCTTATTTGCATATAATCAAATATGTATGAAGTTCTTGTGAAGAAAAAAAAGCATATATATTTTTTCTTTTTTATAATATTTAAACTGATATAATATATACTTTCATCGCATTTTCTTAATAAAAAATATCCGACAGTTACCTACCTGTTCGAAATTCAAATAAAGCATTTGAATAAAGCTTCATCACAAGCTTATGAAGAGAGAATCTCAATTATAAAGAAACTACTAGAGGCAATGTTTTTGTTCGTCTTTGGTCTAACTAACGATATGCTCACTTGTCAACCTAACTTATCGCATGTGTAGCGTAACGCTCGACTTAAAAGTGACGACGCCGGCTATTTGCGAAGCATTCGGCGAATAAGGTCTCCGTAGTAAGAGCTTAATATAGCGCGGTCATGTGTCTCGAATTCTGGGCCAATAATGTCACGGTTCTATTCCCCTCTTAGAAACATGCAAAAAAGAAAAATCCAATCAAAGTATGTTATACGACCAAATCATTATATTATCTAATAAGAATTATCCGATTAGCATTAATTATTATTAATTTCTACTTTTTTATAAACTACACAGATCTTATTTGCAAATATAAAATAATTAAATAAAAAAATAAAGAGCTTATAATATATGCAGATAAATTTATTTATCCGCATGTATTATAAGCTCTTTATTTTTTGCGAAAAAACAAATGATATTTTATATATGTATAAGTATAATGGAAATTATCATTTCATCTAATAATTTGGAAAATCTTTTATCCTGGTTTGCAAAAAACAGTTACGGATGCAAATTTTGTGAAGAATAAATGATGTAAAATAAAACGAGCATCCGGTGTACTTGACCGTATTGCAAAAATATGTAAAGACACCCCCGCAGAGAGTGAGCGGATTTACAGAACAGAAAGCCGAGCACGTGCGAAACCGGAAGTGTTGCGAAACCTACTATAAATTTCATCAACTTTTTATTGTAACTTTCTTTTATATATTTATACAATTTTTGATTTACATTGTATTATATAATTTTGTGCTATTTAAGAGACAAAATAATTGGCAAGAGCCTTAATTTTATAGAATTAAATGCTTTAATATTATATTTTCAAAAAATGTACACTGAAAGTTTCTCTGAATATAAAGTAACCTTTACATTTTTGCAAAAATAACCAAGTTTTAATTTAGCGTAAAATTTAACATTAGTGGTTTATCTTTTTTATTTAATTATTCAGTTTACCAAATTAGAAATGTTTTCGAATAATGAACTTTATGCTCTTATTAATTTTGATATTCAAAATGCACATGTATGATATTAATTATAACGCGTCTCCTCTACGGTTAATTATTACTTTGTTCCACTCACTCTCTACGAAATAAAGCACTAATTAAACATATTACATTAATGATTTATGCATATATGTATATACTTTCCATGATGTATAATTAAAGCTGGACGTTCTCATGCTTCGTCAAAATTCAAATGTTGAATTAATTTTGCAAAGAGATCGTAACATTTATCCAATAATAATAATATCATTGCAATTGATTTAATACGCCAAAGTTAATGACAAGTTACAATTAATTTTGATTTTTTAAGATTGCAGAGAATGTTTTATGATGAAGAAATTGACGTAAAATCGATTTTACGTATACAATAGCATCATATAAGGGTCGTTGAAATGGGCGTTGGCTTTCTTTCGAGCATGAAACATTCAGACAGTCCATTTTGTCTATTACGAGCTTCGTTGGATAGTAACGTACTTTCGCCAACAAAACTTTCTTTTGGTCGATAAACCGTAATCCAACTACTTCCCCTTTCTTACGAGTTCCCTCTAAATATTATCATCTTTAAAGAATGCTACTATTCTCTTTCACGTCAAAAATGCGCAAGCATCTGTGACTGCTATATTTGAAATAAAATTAGATTTGCATTTATGCTGAGAAGGATATATTATATCTGTTGACAAAATATTAAATAATTTCGAAAATTCGATAATATATTCAGATCAAAAATCAAATTAAATATTTTCCTCAACTGTAATTTTTTAAAATTCATTTTTTGTTAAAAATTTGATTTCTGTTAAAAAAAATGTCAAAAAATTCATAATTTATTATAATTTTCCAATCTCTTACATTAACATTGTATATAATTTTAAATTAAGCCCTAAAAATTAGATTAAAATTTTATTAAATTTATCTTAGATTTACTAAAAACTCACATGTATTTATGTTCTTGAAATTGATAATTAATTTGAAAAAGTTTCTTTATTTTCATTCACTAATTACACAGAAGCTAATAATGTCTCGACATTTTTACCAAGGAAAAATCGGCTCTAAATTAGCGCAGAAAGCGTAGTTAAAGAAGCATGTGGTGCATTACTGGAACAATTTCTTTTTATCTCTTTCTTTACATATGTATATTCTTCGAAATTTTATCATAATATTTAAGATACTACAGTAAGATAGTAACAGAAATTTAGAATAAATTGTTTGATATTAACATAATGTTATCATAAATCTCTAATAGCGAGTCATAAAAAAATTAAGACAAATTTCATACAGACAAATTACTTTGTGTGATTATCACTTCCGCATATTGTTTTGCGAGAATGATGCTCCTATAATGCACGTTGCTCCCATCCGATTGACGTATAACAAAATCATTAGCTCCATGAGAAGATAATAAAAAAAACTCGTTTATGTAATCACATGTCTATGTAATCCTTGCACTTTGTAGTGTGTTAAATATTTAAATTACCCGGAAAGGCAGATTTCCTTCGCGCTCCCTTCTCCTTGTCGAAAGAGAGGGAAATCTCGCAATTCGCGGTCTAACTATCGGCAAATGATGTCAGCAAACCAATCTGTTTGATTATCTACGGCAAACGCAATTTTCAATCTAAAGCGCTTTAATTTGCCAGCTCTCTGGTATCCGACTGAATTTGTCATGCGTCAATAAGTATTAAAATCTTTTTCGAATATTGAAATATGATTTTCATATATTTTGTTCGCATAAAAAAGTTCTCTATAATTTTTTATTACGTGAGCGCGATTGATGTATAAAGAAATGCTGATTCAGATGAGGTTTCACGAAATGTTGCATAACGAAGATCATCTGAATTGAAAAAAAACCATTTAAATAATAAATAATAACCAAATAATTAATTTGTCATTAGAAATTTAATTATTTTTAAATGGAATTTCTGCTTAAAAATACATTTGTAAGTGACATAGATTTATTCTAATGACACTAACACTGAATATTCATAGATACAGGAGTCAACAGACATCGGCATTCAAAGCAACGTATTCGCAGTTGAGAAAGTCAGTCGAGTTTCGCAATGTTCAGACACGATTCGATCGAGCAAAGAAGACTGGATGTCGGTCGCGTTCCCCTTCACCAATCGGTTGACCACAACTCAAACTCTGACTCCAGTATGTCACAGGAGCACATAATTTTCTAGTATTGAAATTATGCGTTCAATACTATTTCCCGATATACTGAGATTCGTAATCTCTTCTTTCAAAAAAAAATTCATTAATAAATAAATAAAATCCGACGCGACGATGATGTTTAAATCTTATCAAACCAAAATGTCACATCAAAATGGTATTTATATATTTGATATCGTTTAATATATGAATATAATTATAGTTATACGTAATAAAATTCCCTCAAAAAAAATCTCGTCTTTTATTTATGTGCTGTTTATTCAGCTCGCTAAGCTTGATTAGCATATCTACATCACAAATTTAAATTTGCAAGTTTATGCTTCTAGATGTGTTTGTCTCAAGAGTGCTTTAATGTACGTGCATTTTAATGTAAAAAAAAACATTCCAGAGAGAAATGTCCCTATCTAATCGATCGAGATCATTGTCTAGCCATTCCACGCCCTTGCTAGAGATAGTAAGAACAAAAATTTAATGGAATCCAAAAATACCGACAAATTTTAAGTGAATTGGCGCATAGATAAGCGATGATTCAAGTAATAAAACAGTTGTAAAATTTATAAACTTGATAAGTTATTAAAAATTCAAGTGGTAATAAAATTATTAGCTTAATAAATTATAAAATTGTCATTTATGATTATTTCATCATTTATAAAGAGACAAAAAATTAATGAAAACATTTGAGTTAAAAATAAATATAATTTTATATATATATATATATATATATATATATATATATATATAAGTAAAAGCAAATTAACATTGTTTTGTTACGATTAATATGTCAATCTTCATAATGCTGCATTTTACGCGTCCTTCGTTAATACCCACACCTTTAGCATAAAACTATCCGCGAATCCTAGATCCATATAATTAATACTCACCTCGGTCAAAAGGATCAGCGACAGTAGGAGGATGCCGCTGAATTTGGATATCGGTTGTGGATAGGAGACTTTGCGGCACGTCATGTTTGATAAATATGAATTAATTCCAAAATCCTTAATTCTTCCTGGAACAACTGTTCTTGGTCCACCTCACCTTGGGACACTCACTGACACTTGATGTAATTAACTCCTACGAATACATTTCCGATTAAGTAACGAGGAATGCGCGAGGAATGTGCGTGTCACATCGATCGATCGACGACTCACTGGGACTCACTCCTTCGTAGTCGCGCCGCGCGTGTGGTATCACAAGAAATCGCGTATCCCACTCCGGGCACCTCGCGGTAACACCTGTTCGGTCGTTTGACAGCTACGCCGGTCTCGGACGTAGTAACGGCGACGATGATGGAGGAGCCGAGGGATAGCGATAGTAGGAACAACGGCTGCCATATCAGTTGGCGAACCGTGTGGCATCGAGTCTTCTAACTGACTGAAGCTACATGCGTTATCACGAGTCCCAAACAATGATTCAGTTGATGCGGGAACCTCCAAAGTCACCGCTTTCAGTCCTTGGATTCTCCTCCTCCTTCCCCTCCTCTCCCCACTCGAATCCGGCACATTCACTATGTTAGATGTCCCGGAGTGTTATGTAAATTTTTAACGGATCGAAATAAATTGGTTTCCTGTATCTTAGCGCTTATTCTTCACTAAATTCCACCTCGACATGCTAATCGCAGACTTCTTGTACCAAATTCAAGCGGTTCGGCTGCGTTATGTGTATTCATTTTTTTATTTTTTAACTATGTATCAATCTACGTGGAATGCTTCCTGCTTAAGTTTTGATTATCGCGTTTTCTTCGTGTAAAATAATGTTTAAGAAACGGACAGTAATTGATACATTATATAGATAGATAATATATTTTTATATATTAATTTTCATATTTTAATTTCAGCACTCTTGCTGAAACTTCTCTGTACATTTTGACATTTTATCTAATGTTGAAAAGATATATCAGCAATTGCTATAATTATATTAGCCAAGAATAGCTGCCTTTACTTTACCTCTTACGTGTATCGTATCTTTTCATTCTGCCTTTCTTCATGTTGTTCAGCGGAATACCGGTTCCTTCGCTCATTAAAGATCAAACAACTTTGTTTTCCCTCGCGTTATCCTTGAAGTGACGTAAAAAATCTTATAATATATTAACATATGCAGCAAGCGTTGAATCGAAGAAATAATTATAAAATTGCTCGTTTTCTCGTAAAAATCGCACTGTTGTGCTCTATATATATATTTCTATTTATATATTTATTTATTCAGTTTTCTTCTGCATCTTCTTTTTCTTGGCATCTATTCACAAAATGAAACGTGATATCGACTTATTTCAGAACTTTATTACTTTCCTCCCTCGTTATTTTGCAATTGGAGTACTCCAATGTGCGGAACAGAATAACGAACTGCAAGGGTGGCACCCTTCGGCGCGGTCAATGTGACAACAATGAGGTAACGAAGCAAGCTTCACAAAACATTGGAAATAGCCGTGAGATTGCTCGATGATCGGAAACGCGTGATTTTGTCCAAAAAAGGATCGGTCCAAACGATTTCTTTTTATATTTACTACTCCGACGTTCCTTGTTTTCGTATTATTGTGTTTAAGTGTCATTTGACGTTGTGATTTTTAACTGCTATTTTTAACTAGTCTTTTGTATATCGTACTTGTACATATATCTAGCCAACATGTATCTTGTATCTTGAAATCGCTTCATCTAAGTCACTGAAGAGAAATGTTACGAGTTCAAACATACGGAACACGACACGGAAATGTGACACGGAATTTAAGTTATGGCCGGATTATGAGCAGATTAAATTGTTCTGCTATTTCATACGTCCAGTTGAAGAAGAAACTTCCTTCCGTTATTCTACCGCAGCTCACGTGCAAGACATTACTCGTGAGAATATCTATCGCGTGAAACGTCAAGTCAATGACACGAAATTATCTTGAATGATCCGCCAGGAATCCCCATGAGAAATAAGAAATGTCGAATGCAAATGCTCGATCTTGCTCAACAAAGAAACGCGCATCTGTGCATTATTTCGATGCCATTGTCCTTGCCGCTCCCTAGATTTTTATTTAAATCGGAGAAGGATACATACGCGCGCATCGTCATGGAACATGAATCAAAAGACCCGGATTTCAAATAAGCACCGTAAAACAACACATCAACTTTCTATATTTCTCCACAAAATGAGTCTTTCTTCCGAAAGATATCAATCAATCGTTGAACGTCAAGGACACTGACCGTGCTTCACCTTCACCACCCCAAATCATGATTTTTTAACGAGAAGAGAAACAACATCCGTCAAACTCGCGATCTCGTTCATCAGTAAAACCGCTACCAATCTGCCTGTCATCTCTGTCATTCCGAGATCTCGATGAACACCTGGACAAGTCCCTGAGAGGTCCCCGCGTGTGTCAATGTCGAATTCCGAAATTGGATGGAGGTGCGCGACGTCGGTGAGAAAGAATCGGGAGAGCAAGCGAAGCGTTCAGCTTGCTTTCGTACAGCCGTAGGTACACTCGGTCGACTGGCGCGCTTTCATGATGCCTCACCCGGTGCGGGTGACCACCAGGGCCAACGGGACTCTCGGTTGCTCTCTCAACACTCCGCTCGTGGCTACGATCGAGGCAGCGCCAGGCTAAGCCGTTCCCTGCCTCACCACCCCTCACCCCTGCCACCTCGTCGAGCAACCTGGCTGTCTTTCCATTCCGACTTTGGCTCTTTCTCTTTCACTCTCTCTCTCTTCCTCTCTCTTTCTCTCCCACCTGCCTCGTCCGCCTCCTTCTCTCCTCCGACCTGGCCTGCCCAGGCTAAACATCCAACGCAGCCGCCATCACTACTGCATCCGCTGCCTCGGACTCCCACCGACTGTCGAGCTTTCCTTCTCTCTTTCCCTCCTGCTTGCTCCTGTCATGTATATTGTGTACACGGGCATGGTGTGTACGGGTGTGATATACAGACAAATATGACATAGTTGTGTGCGGGTGAATCCAGTAACGTAACTAGAAGAAGAGAATACAAGTTGCAAATAAAGTAATGAATTTACTTATGAATTCTGATAAAATAATTCGTATTTGCCATGGACATTGCAGTTTAGTTTCATTTCCTATAACTATCAAATAATTTTCTGACGATCATTCATCTTTTTCCAATATTTCCTTACTCTAATATTAATAATGATATCTCTATTGCTAATAATGAGAACATGAGATATATCGGTAAAAATATTAAAATAAACTAACACAGTATCCTTAAAAGACTTTTGAAAAGAATACAAAGAAATATATTCGTTCCAAGAGAAATATTAGAAAAAAGTTGATTATTCAATATTTAAATAGTGTCACATTATTTCAGCTAAGAAATTGATAAAACAACGAAGAATTCTCTTGCAATGTAGCTTTACGAGAAATTTATCGAAATCTAGACGATATATTTGCATAATAAATGTAACACCGAAAGTTATTGCCACGTTTCATCAAATGATAAATGGAAAGACCCCCATAGACCCTGTCAATTCCACGCAATGACGTTTAAATGGATGTGACGTCTTCACGGAGCTCGAAATCCCGAACGTGGCATCTGTAATCTCACATCCATGTTGACGCATCTTCTCTTACGTCTTCTTTTTCCCCGGGTAACACATCATTCCCTGCCCTTCCCTGACATGTTCCCGAAGTAAGGTAAAAACACCAACACGCATTCGCGTCGCCTCGCTCGCTCATACGAATAGACAATATCGCGCACTTATACACGTGTATAAACTAACGACCACACACGTACATCTCTCCACCTCCTGTTTCTTCCTCTCTACCAGCATCTCTTGCTACATCCTCTCTCAACCCTCGCCACACTTCACCCGCTGCGTCCCCCGGCCTTTGCCCTCCACAACGTTGTTCCTGAAGCAACAGTCACCACCTGACACACGTACGCGTGCGCACGCACACACGGACACGTCTTGTCGGTGCGTACCACCTTTATTCATAGAAATCGTTGCTCTCCCACACCTACGCAGGTAGGTCTCTGCGAGCCTCGAAGTCAGAAACGTGGTTAGCGTAATTAGTGCCCCGTTGTAGACAACTGTCAGTGTTAGAATCTGTAATTGTGCGCGTTTAATTCCGTAGAGGGGTGGCAAGGGATGAAAAAATCAATAAAGCGGCGCAGGTATGCGTTTGGCTCATTCTCTGGGAATTTATCTCACTCTTATCTATAACAAAGATATCATTATTACTAAAAAATGTTGCAAACTTTCTACGTTTTATTTCTTTATAGGTGATTTAATAAACGCCTTACTCGGTAGCAATTTGACAAGTAGCAAAATAATAACTCAACCAACTGTCACTTCTGTAATAGTATCGAAAATGTATGTGTCTAGTTTACGTCATCAAAGTCACTTTCACCGCTGTATCTTTTAACGTAGTATCTTCTGTAGTATAAATTGACAAATGAAGTAATTTGAAAATAAACTCGTACATTTATTCTTCCTTTGTTTAATTCATATCCTGTATGATAATATAAAACGATAAAGAAATGGGCAGACACGTGTAAGTACGTCCATATGGATTTAAAGAGAAAATTTATATTAACTGTACACAAATATAAATATATAAAGTTATACACTCGCAGAATATTGTTACAATAAATAAAACAATATCGATCGAATAAAAGCTCTACTTTTTCGAAAATAATGGTTATTTTGTAAAGCTAAATTTACATCTATACAAATTTCATAATGATGTCTCTTTTACATTCCATTACATATGATTTTGATAAGCAAAATGATTCTGTTAGCGACATCTGGTATTATATTAGCAGGCAACATCAGCTTCTACTATGACAATTGTTGATTTAGATTTACAAATGAAAAGATAAATGTGATTTTTTATTTCTCACAAAGAAATCGAGTTTCTTTAATGATAATAATAAAATAAAATATATTAATTTTTCACGAATTTTTATTTCATATTCAGTCTCTCAATGCTTCTTTTTTAACAACTGACGATAAAAGACGTCGTATTTAAAAGACTAAATAAATCGAATGATCAATGGAAGCGATTTCGTCATTTTTATCAATGGCAATTGACTATAATATGCGACTACCCACAACCTGAAATAGATGCGTATACCTGAGAATGTATGGCGAGGGCCAAGAAAACTGACGTCATCAACAGGTTGAGATATCTTTTGTCATCTTTCATCCCTTCTCATCATGACGTCATCGTCGAAGCAGTTGGTCCGTAAGTCTTTTATGAATAGATCTCAACAACAGCTTAATAATTACAAGAAAAATATTTCAATATTGCATCAGTTGTTTACCGATATTTTATAATCAATTTTTTTATACAAAAACACTGATGATCAAAGAAAAGTGCCAATAATTGTATAAACTTTATAATCAAATAAAAGTCTCTTAATCAAATAAATTAATATTATAGCCATTACTCATATAATTGTGAAAATAATATGCATATATTATATAACATTATATATATAATTTTATATTTTTTTGCAACTTATATATTTCTTATAATATTATTTTTTGTTAATAATATGTAATAATAAATTATAAATATTTAGAAATATTCAAAATTTTATTTTATTCAGCTATTTACCAATCATATATAATACGTATAATTTAAGTAAAAGCTATAATTATATTGCATTACCTCCAAGCATTTACAAAGTATTATCCCTTTAAATTATTGGCGGAAATAATTACCCATACCACAATGTTGCTGCAATGTTCTGTGAGTATATAATTAATTTGTATTTGTATTTATATTCTGTCTATAATGATAGACATTATCATTGTTCAAGAGAATTAAAAAACCATACTTGATATTCTATGAAGGAAATTTTAATTTAAATAAACAATTGCTTATCTATATCTAATCGATATCGATGTTTATGGAATTAATAATCTTAAAAAAAAGAAAATATTATTATTTAAATTAATTCAAGATAATAACATGATACTAAAATAATCAATATACACAAGTTACGATAACACTTTGAAGACATTATAATCTTATAAATTGCATAATATGTCCTTGAATATAAAAGTACCTGAACTTTTGTAGACTTCGCCTGGACAAGCTATTTGAACGCGTATTTTTAGCGAAATGATTGAGCGCTCCTGCACGTTATACACCTAAACTGATAAAAGAAATACAATTCTTAGATGATCTTTAAGCTACATTGTTGTTTTCTCATTCACATACATTTAAAAAATCCACACACGAATCCCTCTAAAACTGCAACAAAGATTATGTGAGATGATCGTCTCCTCTTTGACGATCTGACACGATTCTGAATGGACAGACCGGTGATGTTTCGCAATATCGATGATCCCTCGATCTCGGAACATGATGATCGAAGGTTTCTACGGGTCGGGGACATCTAACAATTCGCGATCCATCGCGCATGCGCACGCACTGGTCCTGTCTACCTACGACGGATTCTGGCGAACGGCGCAGCAAGTGTAAAGTGTAACCAGTCCTGGGCGGACGGTCAATCCGTTGCCTCGCTCTCTCGATTAAGATCGATCAATTGGATTCGTCGTATGAGCAAAGTCACCGAGAAGAAAACGAGTCGAGAAAAAAAGTGATTTAGACTGTGTACAAATTTTGGATTACCCTTTTTCGCGAGGTAAGAGAATGATCGTTTTGTAATATTTTCTTAGAGTTTGCTGACAAATTGAAAACTTTTCTTGATACAAATCATATCTTATTAATTTTGATTTTATCTGACGTAATTTATAAATATATAATAAATGTAAATATAATAACAATAAAGCAAAAAGATTTGCCAAATTATATGAAAGAAAGATACGTGTATGTATTTAATAAAAAAAAATATTTATAATGGACTTATAAATATATCTATGAGAAAATTGATAGCAGATGATTCCGTGTATCATTTTAGATTAAATGTAGCAAAGAATTAAGAAAATTATTACGCAGACTAAAAACTAAAATTAGAAATACACTTGAACTGTAAAAATTACTCCAACAATATTTAAATCTATTTATACTGCAAATTAAATATATTTTATTAATTAATTAATTAAGTCGAAAAATTAGGAAATAATATTTATAATCTTAGCATATTCCCTCTTTTTGCAATGTATCTACTTTTTTTAAATTACTATCGGCACACTGCGTTATCACAGCTCCACATAAGTAATTAATCTTCCGCTACTGAAAAAGCCTCGGTGCCTTTGAATGACTGCAAACAGTGACCGTCATTATGCCACACATGTCATTGGTTAACACGCCATGATTCCTGACGTTACCAGGTTGAAAAACGTTTATTCTCACTCGGAAATTGTTCATAAGTCTCGTCGCGACTCATTATAACAGAACTTAATACAGACTCATATGTCTTAAACATTGTATTACATATTATATTAAAAGATTATTATATAAGTTTTATAAATTTGAGACTGTTAAATTATTGTAAAAAGCGTCGTTTTTATATTAACAACTTTCAAATAATTTACGAGCAAGAAATATTATAATTGAAAAAATTTATTCATGCGTTACATTTATTTTAAAAACACATTTTTTCCAAATTCTTCACATATTTATTGTGAATTAAAATTTTACGATCATTTAAAAACTATATGTGATTTTTCAAAATAAATACTTTTTAACGTAATATGTAAAAATAGTTTCCGAAATAGAAGTTTCCGAAATGCGATAGTTTACACTAAACAATTCGATATTAATTATAAGCTTAATTATAAGCTGTAATATCAATTGGAATTTGTCTCTTCAAGCATACGTAATACAGTAAGCAGATAATTAAAGATAGAGAAGGAAGGTCGAATTCCACTTTCCATCTTCACAGATCTCTCAGCCATGTTAGGTGCGTTTTAAAGATTCAGAATAAACACTAGTATGTATAATTCATGCGTCACTACAGACGTTACAATCTCCATTAAGAGCTTCGTAAGCCATACATAATACATAAGAATAACAATTATTAATAAACTGAAACTCTTTGATATAGTACAATGTTTTGTTTTACAATGACGATCATAAAAGATCATCTTTAAAGCGATTATTAGATTCATTAAGAGATTTGAAAGAAAATAATAATCTTTAAAATTCTTTCTTGCTTATAACTGTTTCATTTTCATCAGCACTATTCGACATATACATTATTACACGAAGCGAATTTGTAAAAAAATAAATAAAACGAATTTATACAGCTGAGTTAAGAAAAAAAAGAGGACGCCATGTAACGAAAGTAGAAGCAAAAATAGGCGCAAAGCCAAAAAGATATTGGCCCGTTGTTTACAATACTCCTTGCCGTTGAGTTGGCATGTCAAAAATAGACGCCGATATATCTTTCATCGAATTTTTTACAATAAAACGCGTAAAATAATAAATTTTCAAAAAAATTGTCAGATTGTCCGATATTCCAAAATATTGTTCAACATCGAAACTTTGTGCGTGCGTGTGTTGTACGTGTACTGAGATAAAATTTATATAGAAAAATATTGTCTTTTCAAATACATCCCCCCTTTTTATTTTTATATGTTCAAATTATTATAAATTAGCAACGAGACGATTACACAGCTGCTGAAAAGCTACAGTTAATGACAGTCACGTGTGCAAATTTTATCTTGGCACAAAATTTTACTCCATGCGCCAAGATTCAAACTTCGTTTGTGAAAGTTTGCAAAATACCATGAACTATTACTAATTAAACAAAAAATCAAAAATATCATCAAAAAGTCATTAAACATTTATTGCCCATATAAAATACGCCAGCAGCAGGAAATTTATAGGAAAGCAAAAAAGGTGTCTGAGTTATATTTAAACACAGGTTAAACAAAGAACGGAGAATAGTGACAGACGAAGAAGGAGATGAGAAAGGGAGAGGAAAGAGATTCCGGGCGCCAGTTGGCTGGACCACTGCCACCCACGTAATGTCAAGTGTCACCATTAAATATACACGTGAAATTGGGCTTTATACTTTTTTCTTATTTCCCTTTCGTGTATGCATACGTGCGTAACGTTAATAAATGACTGGTAATTTATTGAAGATAATATCCCGTGATAAGTGGCGAATGTCAAGGATATTTTTTTCTAATATCTTTTCGCTGCTTTATGATAAAACTCCTTGAATAGAGATGAAAAATACTATTAAACTAACAATGCTTCATCTTTTCATCTTTTCCCATTTTTACGTGAAATATTTGAAATTCATAATAAAAAAGGTTCACATTATATTTAGCGAACTATCAATTATAATCTTCTTATCCTTCTGTTAATTACACATCATTGATAAAAAAAAGTCGATTTGATAAATTAACACAGTTGAATTGAACGAAATCGTCAAGATGAATATTAACTTTTATGTGATTTCTTCTCTCATGCAATGGTCATACACCAAGAAATATCGGACGCGCGAGAATTTCTCATTGAGTCTCGAGAACTCTAATAATCATTCACGTACGTAATCAGCGGTAATATCATGTTTCAATTACGTTCGAGTTACCAGATCGAAATAATGTGGCGCAAGAATTTAAATCGGTACTTTCAATCAAGTCTTGTAATTTATACGATGATAACTTCTCTCACGCACGCACAAGCGACTTGCACGCACGCACACATACACACACACACACACACACACACACACACACACACACACACACATACACACACACACACACACAGTCCAACTATTTCAAATTATATTATATTTAATCTCATATAAAAAATAATATTTTTTTAATATTACGGAATCCAATAGTAATATAAAAATAATAGGAAGTAATCTTTCTCTCATATGTAATAACACTTTTTTTCGATTAATAAGCATTAATAAAAGTGAAATATAATAAAAAGTAAAAAAGTACTATAATTTTTGGCACAATTATTTGTTAATAGTTTTCAAAGGTTTCTGATAATCTACTGACAAAACAACTTCAAAAAATTAACTTTTATAGTATTTTTTTATTATTGCCATCGATTTCATAAATATTTTCAACATTCGATGAATATCATATAAAAATATTTCACAAACCTTTTGAAATTTAATGAATGTCCAATGAAGGGGAGTCATTCATGAGAAACCTATAATGCTGATGCTTAAAGTCGTTTGCACAATTGTAAATGCAAACAGAACTTTCTCCCGTTGACACAGATGTAATCTTGTAATGTTTATATGTTTTCGCTGTCTCAAATATGTTGAATAAATATGATACACCATATAATATGTATGCACATACGTTGTAACATAGAACAAAATATTCATAGTACAGCTTTCCAGAATATAATAGCTGTAGTAACGATGTAATCACAGTATTTATTATATATTTTTCTCTCTCATAGTAAGTCGCTTTTTGTAGCGAATTAGCTCTTTGATCTTCGGTTCCTTCTCAGCCAAATGTTGACAGTTAACTGAATGAAATGTCAAGACTTCTGTAATACATTCCCCACTCCAGTGTTCAGTGACCTCGTACTATTGAGACAAATTGTAAATAAATAATGTTTACATTTCAGTTCGTTAATGTATCTACGAGATTTAATTTTGTCGCGAGAATAAAAATTTGTTTTTTATTTAACGAAATTTCCCATGAAGACGTAAGATGCGTGGTTCAATATCACATACACACATTTACATATTTTTAGATTTAAATCTTCAGCTTGTTAAAACATTACAATATTTAATCCCTCGGTTCTTGTAACGCACATATATTTTTTGTAAACATATTAATGTAATATGATTTAAAGGTGAAAGAGGGTGTCATGTTTTTTGTCGACGAAAAGAGGCGCATAAATTTTCTGAGAGATCGCGTGGACCAAAGGCGATGTAATTTCGCAGCGTGAGCGATCTTTCTTCTGTTTCTTTTCTCTCCGCCCACCGCACGCAGCTTCCTCGTGTTCAAATGAGACGAAAGTGATTGCGCAAGATTTGCGATCAGTAACGCGCAGGTGCTCGCTGAAATTATTACTCGTAATTCTCTCTCATTCTCTCTCCCTCTCCCTCAATGATCAAAAATGTATTTTTACATGTGCAAATTAAATTCGCAATTTTAAAAAAATGAAAAAAATGGACGAGCAGTGAAACGAGCTCTCTGCCATATTTATCGCTCTTTAAGAGATTTACTAATTTAAAAGTCGATTAGATAGTCTTTTTTTTGAATCGCAGCTACCGTTTCGATTGACATGATAACCTTGGAGGGCGCGGTACAATGTCACTGACGATGACCGACCTATCTGCTTAAAGCAGTTGCATCGCATGCTATCAATGGCGTAACAACGTCTGACGATTACACAAATTTTTTCAATTCGTGCTTCCACATGCGTTGTTTGAAGATTGTAATCATCTTATCATTCTACGTAGCGTTATCAGTCATTCACATATATATCTTTTGTAAACATTAAGAATCCATTATTACGTATTCATTATTACAAAAAAATAATTTTATCATACTATTTCCTTCTCTATCGAATAACTCGTTTGAATTTCAATTACGCCACTGCAATCGATACTGCTCATTCGAGCTGATCAAGTTATATGTGCTCTATATCAAGCAGGAATGACATACTTTGGAGCATACTTTGAAATCAATTCGCTGTTTGAAAGCAAAATTGTACGATAAAATTCCCGAATGATATAGATTTTTTATTATTTTTCTAGCTCTTACTTTTTACATGTAAGAGTCTATTTGATTGCTAAAATTATGTGTGTTATAGATTATACATTATAATGAAAATACAATCCTTAAGTTTCTAGGCACATACTTACATAATTTTAATTTTAATTTTATTTTTATTATTTTATATATATAATTTTTATTAATATATGTCATGCATATAAATAAACGCAAGCATGGAAATGATCTTGCATGCAGATGTAATAAAAAATATGCTGGAAAATAATAAACGTTACAAGAATTTTATTCTATTTAATGCTTGAAAATAGTATATATTCATAGCGTAGTGTATCTCAGCTGAGAGTAAACTATGTTTAGTCGTAATCTTGATAAATGTGTATACAGTTCAAGTGCCATTTATAACTCGTAAGTCATAATCAAGGCAGAGATATTCGTCGCGGAGACACAATACTCGTAATTGACCTTGATCCGCATTCATCTGTCCTTGGGCCCCTTTGCCGAAACTCGCCTTCAATAAAAAGTCTATCATTGTCAAGCTTAGATCCCTCTTAAGAACTCCTTTTCTTCTCTTTTATACGATTAATTATATTACGGTTACTCGCGTAGTAGTCAATGAAATACGAATTCCAGCAATGAATTTCCATCGTGTGTTTCAAGATTTTAGAGGCGGTCGTGTAAACCTCTTTAGCTGCCGATTCTCGGAAGGCCTCCTTGGCCCGATGGCCTCATTCGCATTGATGCCTCCGGAATAAATACAGGACCATTTGGCACTTCCGCCGATTTAGTTTCCAGACTATGATGTCATCTCTTAATCCAGTTTCATAAATTTTTAACATGAAAAATCAGCTTTTTCGAAACTCGACATTATATTTATTAAAGTACAATGCAGTGGTATTTAATAATGTAGAATGGGCGCATAAGATCATTTATGTCATGTATTCAACTCTTTTTTTCAATATATTTTATCAAATAGTCAATATAATATGTTAAAGAATTTCTACGAGTAATAAAAATCATACTTGATGAAAATCATGAAACTACACTTACTCGAACCTAAAAGCTGCCGCTCTGGTCGCGAGTCTTGTCCACAAACCGGCTTCGAGTGCGAAAGTTTCTGCGAAAGTCTGTAACGCTATAGAGAGATCCAAATCTTAATATCAGTTCTATTTATAACTGCAGGCATCTATAAGTAGCGCGGTTGCATGAAATATCTAACCGAGCTCCAGTTATTCAACTCGGCACCAAAGATCTGAGAGATAAATTCGATGAAACAAAAAATAGTGATAATGAAATTAACCAGAATGTCAGTCAAACCTCTACGTTACTCTATTTATAGATTTCGTGAGGCAGGGCTTTAGAAGAACACAATGTCAGCAGCTGTAAGGGAGCGGACGACGACGCACACCAGCAGAAAGATCGTGAGTCATGGCGGTCCTATATCTGGCCAGAGAGACGGAGCAGCAACGGCCAGCAGCCTCGAAAACAACTTAGGTAAACCTTTAAATGTGCCACCGGAGATGTGTAACTTTATCTACCTGCTGTTCTTTTTTCCGCCACATGTTTTTTTTTTATTCGCGATGTTCTTGTATTTACAAATCTTAGCATATAAATTAGTTACCAACGCATACACAATTCATCAAACTTTTAAAAATATCTTGATCTCTCTGCTACTATCGATCGATGTGATATATTCCTAATATTTACATTTCAATCTAAAAAGAATCTGAACGTAATAATATTTTAATCGACGTCAATTATAATTGTCTATGTACTTGGAATCGCCTTCTCAGCTCTATTATTTACTACTTCATGCTTCGTTATAGTGAACATACATGTTAAATTGGTTCGTTTGGCTCTTTCAGACGCACTTCTCGAGGATCTGCAGACGAGTGTCTCGAGAAGTGCCACTCCTAGTCGAGACAGAGTACTTTCGCCCCAAGTCGAATATCGGGTGGCTGCCAACCCTACCAGAGTGGTCTCCGAGGGTAGCAGGTGAGAGAGAACAAAGTACTTTGAAATGTACAATAATTGGAACTAATGCATTTTTTTTTCGTTTTATTCGAGAGATGCGCGTGTATATTTCCTATAAAAAACGTATAAAAAAGATACATTATAATATTCAGATTTATAAAAATTATTTCTAGACCCATATCTCCAAGTCGTACGAAGGTGACTACCACCGAGAAATTTGTGAGTACTGGTCCAACCGGCGCACCCAGTGGTATCCCGGGATTAGAGCTCCTAGATGCAGAGTTGCAAAACGTAAGTTTCCCAATTAAAATAACGTTATTAAAATACATAAAATTACACAGATAAAAAACTTACAAGATACCGTAAACTCAATATTTAACGATTTTACACAATAACTGGGAAATAAAGTAACCACCCCAATATTAATTTAAGAAAATTCTGGATTTATATAATTTTAATTTTAGAAAAAAAATTATATAAATAAATCTTTTGAAAAATGTTTAAATAAGAAAATTCATTTGTCGTCATATCGTTTAGTTTCATTCAAATTTGCTATTTGTCAAGAAAACAAATTTGCTTATTTAAGAAGTAATAAAATGCATGCAATATAAAAATCAAATCAAAATGTGTGACTTGTGTGTTCTTTTTATTACTTGGTATAAATATTACCCTGAGGATAAAATCTAAAAACACGAAAGAGCTATATAATCTCGTCGGATAAAATTATGTGGCAGTCAATGGCGCTGGTTCTTGCACACAAAAAAATGCGTCAATGCATGCAAGAAACTAGTTTCGCATACCATCATATGTACGATGCCGAGATTACTAAATATGCTGTTGAGAATGACTTTTTGATTAACTGATGTTAATCAAGTGAATTTATTTAAGTAGCGTATAAAAATTCTCGATACAACCAATTCCACAGCAAGCAAAAAATAAAATTCGATTAATAAAAATTGCATTATTTAACCAATACTCTTCAAAATTGTCGAAAAAAATGTCATTAGAAGATTTGATTGTTTCATTTCCATATTTTGGAAAAAAACCAACTTTTTACTGTCAAACATAAATAATACATAAAGAATAAATTGTAATCTTATGCCCGTAAACTTTAATAAAAAAAATATCAATTAGGCATATGAATATTAACATTATTTATAATAATAAAATGTCAATAGAAATTCGATTATATTAATAACATGTATAATGTGTGTCTCTCATTATCGCATTTATTAACAAATTATAAATATTATAAACAAAGAATTTAATGAAATCTGCCGTACTATATAAATTAGACAGATTTTTAGTCGTAGCATATTAATCACCTCTAATCTCTGTTAATATCCACTATATGAATTTTAACAGAGTTGCGCTAGAGTTCCAATTATACGCTACGCAAATTGCATCGTTTATGTATTCGCCCCGAGGTGCAAGTGTCGTGTCAGTGCATCTAACGCGAACATTTAATGTTGCCTTCTTGTTAGAAAGAGAAAGAAAGAGACCGCGAGGAATAAATGAGATCACACTTATACTTGAAGTCGCGAAGTAATCAACGCGTCTCGTGTCACATCCCCGATCGAAGAAGAAGAGCTAACGCTAAGGACAAAAATAGACTTACAGACCATATAATTGCATTATAACAGTCGCCCACATGGTGACATTAACTAACTTATCGCCAAATCACGACTGTCTAATAATCCTTCTTTCACTTTTGCATTTATTCGTTGACCTTCACGATAAGACTTTAAAAGATATTTTAATAAATTAAAATAGTTGCAAAGAAATAGAAAATATCAATAAAAATAAAATATTAATAAATAAATACTGTAAAATAAAATAAATACTGTAAAATTTAGATTTTTCTTTTTTACACATATAAAAAGTGAGTGAGATAATTAAAATGTTTTATCAGAGAGTGTCATTAGAGTTTTTTATCATGTATGATGATACGTAACAACAGTGATAATAGCAGTAATGATTTACATTTTAAATATAGACTTAATTATAGAGAGAATTAACTTAAATATAGAGAGAATGTAACTTTTTTAAGAGATCATTAAAGTCAAAGAAGAATAACAAAATATTTCTCGTACTATTCTCGATTTATTTAATGGTCTAGTAAGAGAGATGCATTTTAAAACGACTATACTGTGTTCGATAAAGATTTTCCGGATACCCTGGTAATAATACTCTGCCATTTTACACGATATATTAAACATTAGAAAATCGCATTGGGGAGGATCAAGCCGAGATGATTGCAACCTTCGCTGATCATATGCCTTGTAATCTGGCATCCAATGAAAATAAATTGGTTTGCTCGTGCTCCTTGCGTGCTAGCCGGATATATCTTCGAACTAACGGGCTTTTAAGATCTTTAAACGATGCTATCTATCTATCATCCGGAACGATAGAATATATAACAAAATAATCTATAAAATTTCTAAATGTGTTACTTATATCATTTCGCTCAGTTTATAAAATAATTCATTTTAATTATTAATTTAATCGCATGAAAGTAGCACGATGTGTGTGCTTACAGATTATTTCTAAAACGTAAAATAAGGTTTTATTCTGTAATATACTTGAATGACTTTGGTTTTTCTACATAGCTGCAGAATTGAAACAATCATCGGCCCCAAGTCATTCCGCGGAATTTAAATGCTGTTACCGATCCGCCCATGCGTTACACGTGGGATAGTCGTAATCAGAGTCTTATAAGGAGAGTCCCAGTACCCACACTACCCACGCATTGCTCGCACTAATTTGTTACGACTGAATCGCGATGCTACGTATAAAGAAAGATGACCTGAATACCTACGCATACTAATGTAAGATTCTGCCTCGTACATCCACTTTCCTCTTGTATATTCACAGGTTCAACCCGGTCAAAGCAAAACGATAGCGTACAAACAGGTGTCGTATCAATACAACAAGGATTTGGATGGAAAACCAGGTGAGAAGATCTATATGTTTGCACATGAATAATATATAGTATCGCTGTGTACATCGTTGTGCTTACATTACATATAGCAAAAATTGAAGAACTATAGCAAGATTCAGAAATTCCTCGAATTGTCTGAGACAAGTAATACATCGGTCGCGAACGTGGAAGGTAGGGGAGCTGGTTGCTCGTGTCGCGCCTTTTAAGGCGCGTGACGGCCTTGCTGGTTTTACGGTTAATTGATAATGAAAAAAATCAAGCGGATCTCTCTCGCAGATTTGAGTACTATACACGATCTTCAATGCAATTCCAGTTGTATCGCGCAAAGAATATTGACGAGAATATAAATCTTATATGTATCTTATAATCCTGTTCTCGAGAGAAAAAAAATAGAGATTGAGTTTTTGCGAATTTACATATCCAATTTTTATAAAATTTAACAATATTCCGAATAACTTTAAACGGCTACATGTGTAAGCCCTTTTAGCGTAAATTAAGTTTGGTAGAAATAATGTGGAAATATAATTGAATAAAAATGTTTGTAAATTAAAAGAGCAAGTGTACGAAACGCGTGCGCAAACATTTATCGTGTATCATTCATCGCCAAATTTTATAAAAATTGGAAAAAAAATCTTTTCGAAATTTTATTTACCTCTATAAAGCAGCACGTGTGGGAGCGAGAAAGTTCTCCTTGTATCTCTGTATTTGGCAAAGACTTTACGGTCGTAGTTCACGTTCTTTGCGGTCACGCATAATACACAAACGTAGCCATATTAGGACCGCTTATAACAGATGAGCGACCTAATTTCTTCGTATCTCCGCTGTTCTCCTGAAAGCAAAAAAGGAGTGAGAAAAGAGAACGAAAAAAATAGAGGAATAAAATATATAAAAGATTACATCATATTGGAAGAATATAAATATAGCTATCTATCAGTAGATGGATTATTCATCGATTGGAGAGATGATCTTGTCAGCTAGCTAAAAAATTTATTATCAAAACAGCTGACATTATAAATTTCATAAGATTAAAGTCGAAATGATAAATTTCCGTATTTTACACATGACATTTTATTATTTTTCGAATCCTGCATAAATTTACATTGATAATTATTTAAAATTTTTTATTACGTCATCCTCTTGGAAAAAATATCGCGCTATTCAATCACAATATGGTAAAATGTTAAATGATTCATTGTTTCAGATTCGTGGGTCGTATCAGAAAACAAACGATCTCTTACTGGCGCGCCCTTGATGTAAGTATATAGTTGTGCCTCATAAGTCCCAAAATACTACCGGTTTTTGAATGCGTGCCAAACGACTTGGTCGCGCACAGAGCCCATCTCTCTCTTTTTCCATTAAAATAAACTCATATTTCTCTGTCTCGATTGTATTTAATTTATGCATGACATTCGAAAGAAATTTTATTGCAGACATAATACAAAAAATAAATTTTTTACAACTATACTAAAATTGCGGAGCACACATATAAAAAAAGCTTATATGTTCACAGTGACGACATTCATGAAACTACTTATGAGGAGACTAAGACTCCAGCGACATATACTACATATCAAAGTCCAGAACCAATTATTAAAAAAACAGTAGTTAACAGAGAATTAGTAAGTAACAGTATATCTATCAAACACACATTTTCTCCAATATTTTGATTTGTTATTTTTATCGATATTAAATTATATATATATATATATATATATATATATATGTGATATTAAATTAAATATTTAATATTTTTATTGATATTGAATATGATATTAAATTAATTTTATTCATATTAAATATACAAACATTTATAAGTATTTTAACAGCAATGTATCTATTAGGTCTATGGCGACAGTTCAACGTCTCGTTCGAAACAAACCTCTCCTTTACCAGGAACTCAAAGGGATGTCAAATACATTCACGAATCTAGTACGTATAAATGATTTTACAAAAAGACGATTATATACATATATTTTAATCTTGACATTGAAATTAAACAAATAATTTTCTACCTCCCAAGGCTACCAAACTGATCCGCGATCAACTCAAGCATTAACTACAGTGCATACGAGCACACCGCAAGAATACAAAACCATTGAATACGTGCCGGTTCCGTCACCAACTCCAGCGATACCGATCAATCTGGCACCCGGTCCGAACACAAAGGTGACTACCACGATCAAGACGTATACATACGAACTGCCAGGAGCGCCGGAAACATATCTACCAGGTGGCAGTGTGCCAGGAAGAAATGTTGTACTGCCTGGTGATCAAACCATCACGTACACCCTACCAGGAACAACCACAACTGCCACTACAGACAAGACAGTCACCTACCAAACCATGACAGAGAATGTACCCGGACATCTCGATACATCGGTCAGATACAATAGCCCGTCGAACGATGTCACCGAAAAGTCTACGACCATCCACAAGGAAGCAAAATACTATCGCGAGGAACACGACGATCCTAGTTGGAAGCCGATTTACCGCAACGCACCGTTGCCAACAAATATGGAGACCAAGACCACCGTGACTGAGAAGTATTATCAGGTTGACGGTAATTATCCCAATGGCCACGGACCGGATGATCGTCCGGATTATCCCGGAAGCACAACCGTCATATATCAGAATCAACCGCCTACCATTGAACACACGAAAACCATTAAACGAATCGAAGAATATAGATCTGATAGACACATGACGCCTGATAAACCGGATACTCCGACCAAGATGACGACGACGACTTATTATCCGCAACACGGTACACCCAATACAACGATTTATAAATTTTCGAATACTACCTCGACAGTACCACCGAGCAAGAACGCGGAGGATCACGAAGTTCTCCTGCCGAAACCATTTCCGACTGGTGTCCAGATGTATCCCGCTAAGCCAGTCACCAACGGCGAAGGACCACCGAAAAAACTCGAAGATCTCATGGCTTCGTTCTCCGACTCTGAGGTAAAATAATTAATATATTTTTTGCCGAACGATATTAAAAGTTTCTATATGTATTATTTTTTTCACTTAGCGGGAAGTATTGGAAGACATACAGAGGCAAGAACGTCATACTAGAGAATCATCATCCAAGAAGAAAGAAGTCGATTTTATTCCGCACACACCACCAAAGGTCAAAAGTAAGAACGTTGCCGGCCCACCGGTCTATTATCCTCCTGGCTCGGCGGAATTCACCAAGAAGGAAGAATCTAGTGCAGCCATGTCACAAGCTAGTGTAAGTTAATTATTTAATGTATTATACAGAGTAATAAATCCTACATAAGTTTACAATAAATAAAAATGTTTTTCAGTTACAAATCTTAAAAAAACAATTGTATACAATTGTATATAACTCGCAATAAATTCTATAATTAAATTAAATAATTTAAAAACCACTTTTTTTTTAAATAGAAGATAATGAGTACTTTTGTTATCCAAATTTTCATTTAATTTTATATTGCGACATCATTTATCACCAATGTAGAGAGAAAAGAGCACTCTATGCCTCTTGTATTTCTAAAAACAAATTTTTTTTTTATTGTGTTTGATTTTAATCAATCCCTGTTTGCATCATATTTCAGGGAGGGTGGCAAAGGGCAAGTGGAAAATATGAATATGAGGCCTCCAGTAAAAGCAAAACCAAAACCAGCAAGGGAGGCGCTGTCGTCCCAGTTTGTTTGCCGTTATGCTGTGCATTGCCATGCGTTATTATGTAATTTAATTTTTGCATTAACATATATTAATTAAGCACATAATATGGTCTGAAACATCTAATATCACAATATAAAAATATAGCCTGCCAAGAAACAGATCAGAGAAAGAATTAATGCAGATATATGGTTTACATCTAAAGCACATTAAAAGCTTTTTTGAATATTTTTCCTTTTACCACAAAGTACAATCACTTAAATTGTACATTTACTTTTTCTTTGTCTTTTTCTCTTCGAGATCTAAACTCTTGTCTTATTTTAAATATATTTTAAATACAACAAATATGGCTGAAAAGCATAGATAAATATGTATATGTGTTAATATTTAACATATGACAGATCATTTATATTATTAAGCAAATAATCTCTCAAAACAGATCTATCATGAAAGAGTGAGTTTATATATTAACATACTTATAGGTATATACTTCAGAATAACAAATGTTTAAGCTATATTTATTTAATATAATTTTTATTATTATAAGTATTATATTCATGATGACAAATTATTCAGATTTTTTAAAGGTATGTTGCAATATGAATTTGCTATAATTAAATATAAAATATAACGTTTTCTTAAAATTTCAAATCTATTATTACACATTTTATATATATAAACAAAAAATGAAATTAATAGCATGACGCACAATAATCTCTTTTAATAAATTTATTATAATTTTTATTATTAAACATATTTTTATATTGTTATTGCCTATTTATGCAAATGAATTATATATATATATATATATATATATATATATATATGTGTGTATTATATAATATTATATTAAGCTTCAATCAAATTGTAAAATCAATACTCACATTTTGCAAAATAAGTAATAAAATTCATTATAATTTTAACAAATAAATATTATTAGTACCATTCTATATAAGAGACATCATATTATTTTAAAAATTTTAAATATTCTTACAAATTATCTTTCTCTGAAATAATTTACTAAAAATATGTATGAAAAGCAGATAAATCATGACAATAAATATTGTAACAGTAGGATAAATAATTGTTAATTATACTATACTACCGTGAATTATGGTGCTATAATAATTTTAATATTAAAACCATTTAAATAACTAATATAATATCACAATCATGTATATCTCTCTGTTTTTGAACACAAATACTATTTGTAATTATATGTAAAAATTGTGTCATCTCATATGACATATGATATGTGTTAATATGTATATTAATAATAGATCATATTTTAATAAAATTGACATTTTTAAATAAGTATATTTTTCCACTCACATGCATTTTATTCAATGTGTTTTTCTTCAAAAAATATCTTTTTAATAAAAATAAACGGCATATACTATAGCCATGCAGAATATAGAATCCTGAAAAACAACATGCAATTAACCCAGGAATAAGAATATATTAAGTATTAAACATTGTATGACAAAAAAAATTGAAAGATATATCTCCTTACATTTATAAAACTATCATAAGCATATGTATCAGCTTCTGCATCCCAAATGCATCTTGTACCTATTTTTACACCAGCACCATGTTGCTGTCCCAAAACCACATTGACAATATATTTATACCTTTTGAACTGTAAGTCTATAAAACATGTAAAAAACAGAAGATATATAATTAAGTACTTACCATAGAACTTTAAGTGCGATACTTAATAAATAAATATAAATAATTTATAGATATGTAGAAAAAAAGATAAATATTACCTTTGATTTTTCTTTCAATAATATCTGCTATATCTTTGGTCCATTGAGCAGCTGCTTGTGCATCATATGACTTCGTAGCAAGTTGATCAAATAAAACATCGTGTATTATCTCTTTTGCACTTAAAGGTTTAAATCTGTATTAAAAATATCTTAATGTTACTTAATTAAACTCAGAAAAAGACACTGACTGCATCAATAATTTAAAAATAGAAAATTTGAAAATATATTAATGTATCTTATCTTTTAAATCAAAATCAAAGCAACTTTTCTACATTAATTTTTTGTACAAACGCGAACTTTAGATTTGCTGATTTTTCTAATTTTATGTACATAATATAGTATAATAATATATATTGTATAATAATATTATAGTTATTATAATATTAAAAAATGATTAAATATATTATTTTATTGAGCGAGACATGATCATATCTCTTGATTTCTTGATAAATTGGCTTACTTTTCGTGAAGTGGCGGTCGAATTTGATAAACTGGTTGCTGAGCTGTTTCCTCGACATCTTCAGGGACCTCCAAATTCACATCCTTTTCTTCTTTTTCTTGTGCTACATTCGCTATCTCTTGCATTAGGTTACGTTTCACAGAATGCGATATTCGTTTCTCTTCTGCCATTTAAAATTAATAACCTTATAATCCGTATGTTCCAATTAAAGATTGCCAATGCTGACAGTACTGAAAAATAATTTATATATGTATATATACATGTCTCATTCATATATGATCACTATAGTTTAAAACAAAACACGGCCTATCTTGTCATACAATATATACATACACACATAAGAATGTCATTCACTTATAAGAATGTCATTCAGGCTTGTTTATCAATAAAGATATCCATATTGGTAATCCGATTCATACATACTGTATACATATGTACATACACATATTCCACTCTTTCGAGTGCGTTCGAAAATCCTACTCGTGGAGTAAAGTAGGTTTTGATTGACCAATCAGGACAAAAAGTTTTTTTGATTCTGATTGGTCAGTTCAAAGTTATTCTATCGCACACGTAAAATTTCGGAACGCACTTTCATTTCAATTCTTTTATCAATTATTTTCAAATTATTATTTTATTATTATTATTATTATTCTAAATTACTTTTATTTTTTCAAATTATCATTCTTTAAATAAAGAGTATAAAAAGCATTTGTATGGTTGCAGCATTTTTAATTATTGGAAAAAATTTAAATGATATATTATAATTTAATTTATAGATAATTACAATGACATTTTGCATAGATATTTAATTTATTAAAATCCAGACAAATCTGTAGATGAAGGAAAGAATGAACGCAGTACCTGACCGCGTTCCTTGTCTATGTACAAGGTCTTTCGTTTTACCATTATTTCGTGTTCAAGGGTACCTCTTGTTTTGACTAATTTCGCCTGAGATTCCTCAGTGCGTTTTAATTCTGTCAATAAAGCGGATTTCTGCTCACCAAGAGATTTCACTTCTTCAATAAGGCTAAATAAAAAGTTTTTAATTAATTGCATTTGTTGATAATGCTTTATTAAAATTATTAACTGTATAATTATCTTTCTCTAAGTGACTTACGCAAATTGACTTGCATCTCGACAACTTTCAACATTGCATCGATTCAACCTATTATCCAATCTCGTTTGTGCTAATTTCATGGCATTATTTAATCCCTTCGTTGAATCTCGAAGTTCTTCAATCAGCTTTTCCGTACTCGCTAATTCACGCAAGCACTAAAAATGAAAATATTTTTCGTTAATTTTTAATTAATTTTATTTTGTGCGTTTTATTGCATTCATTCATAAATCTTACGCGAAGTAATTCCTTCTCTAATTGCTCAAGACAATCTTGCGTAAGTTTCACATTTTCAGCGAGTGCAATATCAACGCAAGTTGCTTGATCGCGTAGGTCTTTGACGAAATTAATAAATATTTTGTTCAAAGTCGATCTTAAATTTATGGATTTTTGTTTAGCACTCTCGCCGGCAGCTAGTGCTTCTCGCGTGAAGTGTTCATAGCTCGTAGGAGTTGATTGACTAAAAAAAAAGTGAAATATTCATGATATATTTCGATGATATTAAAAGTTTATGATTAGTATCAATGAATAAATTCTTATTCTGAATTGAAAATAGATTATTTTTATAATGTTTCCTTTAATATCAGCCACGAATATAAAACGATACAAACTTACTCCTCTGGGATCCTCGTAGCTCCAGCTTTCCACAATAAAAGCGGAGAATCATTAGATAAATTCACGCACAAGGAGTCTATGTTATAAGTATGAACTTTATCGGACCAATCGCTTTCCATTCGTGTTTTGACTGTTTTTAATTCAGTCATTTGTGTCTCAATCTGTTCATAAGTTCTATTTAATAAAGTTCGTATTTCGGAACAAAGCGCTATTTCCTGAAATATATAATTTGAATTAATAACTTTCGAGAGGGGCAAGTTTGATCGCTCTAAAAGCAATTAATAATAAATAATCATAAATTCGATCATAGATTATTAAGCATACTTGAATTATTGGATTATCAGATATAATCAATAAAATATATCGATTAGCAATTAATTGATAAATCACGATAAAGAATTACGTTTAAAACAAAGTAGCGTCAAACATGATATACTTTATATTATTTATATTTGTATTATTTATATTAATCAAATTCAAAATCTAGTTTTCATGACAAATTGAATTTAATTGTTCTCAGAGCAGTCAAGGCTGTGCTTTAATCGAAAATGCTATAAGAGATCATTAATAAGAGATCATTGTGAATTTTTAGCATGGAATTAATTAAGATTCAACCTTTGTTAGTTGTTCCTCGACGTTGTCGCGAACGAGATCCGATTCCAGGCGAGAAGAGCGTATCTGCAGAAACTCGTTTGCAATAGATGCTGGGATGGTCAATATTGACAAAGATCGCTGTACTCGACGACGCTCAGCTTCTAACAATCCTATTTCTTCCACGTTGGCAGAGATCGCATGCTCCAATTCTGTCTTCAAACGATACACCTCGTTAGCCCGTGTTTTTAAATGCTCCGTCGTTTCTAATTGCGTTTTATCGGCTGCTGCGTACGTTTGTTCTACGCACTGCTTCGCATTGTTGGCTGTGACTCTAAAAAAATTAATTCTTACATCAGTCAATAATTATATAGTTTTTTTACTGATTAACTTTAATTACATGTTTTAAATCTAGTACTCCTTTACATCTATTACTCATGGACTTCGATCAAATGTAAATGTATAACGTAATTTCAAAATAATCGTGAATCATAGCACGTATTATGTTAAATCATACGTACTGAGCATCACAAATTTTCTCATTCGATTCTTGAAAGATATTCAAATTATGCGCCCGCCATTCGCTTGGTCCATAACGAGTGATGGTATATCGATCTACAACTGGTCTCAAACCTGTGATACCGCCTTTAGTAGAGCACGTTACACTGCCTGTAGCCCATGGACCAAGCGGTTCCATCAAGCATTCAGGCTTCGGTGGATAATCATCTTCGGACTGAGGTAAATAGGGCGGAGGTTTTTTGTTGTCTCCGCAATCATCTTCCATCGATTGCATTGTCTATCTCCAGATTTTTACCACGAGATGAGTGATAATAGATTGTGCATGAAACGTGATATAATGAATAAATACAATTGTTTATAAATAAACGCCATTTGATTTAACTTGCTTTCTGTTTGTTGTGTGTCCGTGTGTGTGTGATGTGACACGTACAAGTTTTCCATATATCTCTCTTGTATATCTTTTTATACATATGTTAACGAGACAGTAGTATATCGAATAACACAATATATATGCGTTATCGAATAACATAATATACGCAAGAATGTAAAAAAAAACTTACCGCAGTTTGTTGCGAAACCAGCTGCGAGGTTTCGATCAAACCATTATGTTTATCATTCGAAATAACAGACATTTCTTGAAATAATTAATTATATGCATATATCTTAGCAATCTTTTAAAATTTGTATTTTATAAGTATATTGGAAATTTAATTTTTTTTTTGTTTAAATTGCACATTTATACGCAATAAAACATACAAATTTCGTGAATGTAAGAGTTATTTGTCACTTCCGTACATACATATGCTAAGGAAACTGGCTTTATTGATTTAATACAGCATAAACGCGTACGAATCATTTCGCGTACTTCATTTTCTTGTAAATAAGTGTTATTTTTTTATTAACCTATTTTGTGCTATCAAAGAAAAATTATAACTTTTAGAAAAATAATGCGAATGACTAACTTCGGGATATTAAGTAGTAGGTATATCTTATGCGAGCAAATAAACATCATCGCGTTATATAACGCGATATGCTTTTAATGCAAAATAATATTATGCACTGTAATAAATATTTATTAACAGATAATTCTGTTGCTCTCGCATATTTTTGTGGACTTGCATACTCTGTGCACATATAAGGTATTGATAACTTGATATTCTATCAAAGTTGAGCATGCTTCAAAGATTTCTTCTAAAGTCACGATATCTTTTATTATGTTATTACCGTGTACGTAATTTCTTGATATAAATTCGAACAAATAATTAAACTCGAAAGTTCACGATCTGAAATGGAATGTTATTTAACAATGTTTTTTTTTTAAATCGATAGTATATCAATATATTAGGTAATTAAAAAAAGGTAAAAAAAAAAGATAAAGCTCGATAGTTCTGATATATTAGACGACAGGTAATTAAAAAAAAAAAAGATAAAACTCTAACATTATATAGAACTACTATAACGTTAAGTTTCATAAAACTGCGTAAAGTTTCTGAGTAGAAATAATTTTTATATTGTATTATTACAGATTAATTTAATTATTAAATAAATAATAAGAATTGGGAGAGAATTTAACATTTACATACAATTTAGTTATTAGATAAATAATAAAAATTGGAAGAAAAATCTCTATTATCTTAAAATTTGAAAACATGATCATGTGAAACTGGCCACAAGGAAAAACAGACGATAAATAACAAAGATAAAATATAAAAAAACAATTATATGGAAATGGAGAAGATAAAAGTTTTGTTTGCATATATTAGCGATATGAATATTTACCGTATGTTTAATTTTATATTTCAATGTAACTTTCACTAATAACATGTGGTTTTATAATGGCTTTATATTTATCAATATTGACGCGGTCCGATTTAATCAATTTTGTCGAGACTTAAATTTATCATATATCCAAGTAGGACGTAATATAAGGTAGATAAAGTATCCCACCATGTGTATTTATAGCTGTTTATGAATCGTATACGTTGATCAGCTGATAAGACGTCAGGAAAATATTCATTGCTCACAATTGCTCGCAGACTGTCGACGAATACAGACATTGTTGAGGAGAAAATGGCAAAACAAGTGGAAATTAAGTATACCCAAGTAAGTTGATATTTCGCATTATTTCCTAAGATGCATAGCGATAGATAATATATGTTTCGAATAAATTTTGTAGCTTTTTATTGATAATGAATTTGTGGATGCTGTGAGTGGCCGTAAATTTTCCACAATAAATCCGGCTAATGGTGAAGTCATCGCAGAAATTTCCGAAGGAGATAAGGTAAAATTGTTTGCATAATATCAGATATAACATAAAAATTTGACAAAGCAGTTAGCTCTAAAAAAATTGTAGATGAAATTTTATAACAAAAGATAGTGATTTAGAAAATTCCCATGCCTTTTATTTTAGACTCTAAAATCTGTACATCTCTAAATCAAAGTTAATATTTGAAATTTTTATTTATTCCAAGACTCAATATAAAAAAATAATATTAACGAATGTAATATCGGAAGAGAATAAAATTAGATGTTTTATTAATCCTTGCATTTAGAAATTTACTAGATTCTCATTTGTGTGTTTCCCATAATTTCACGAAAAGTTGAAGAAAATTTAAATATTTTAGAAGAACATTCAAAAAACTTGAAATGAAATATTAGCATTTAATCGACACAGGTAAAAAAATTTTGAATTCGTCAAGATTTGAATATTGGAAAAAAATTTTTTATATTATAGAAATCCAGCATGTTGGCAAACAAATATCTGTTCGCGTAAATGTCTGAAATCAAATATCAGTAACAACTTAAAAAACTGTTATCAAAAGTGTCAAGAGTATATATAGGACAGTATTGATAGCAGAGATACTATTTTGAAGAATTAAAAATTTAATATTTCTGTTATTTATTATAATTCTTAATTTTTACGATTTTAAATCATAAAAATAAAAGTAATAACACATTATTTGATAATATTCATATATGTTTTTGTTCGTTAAAATAACGATTTTTTCTTCATAAAAAAGTGATATGATATAATACTTTTATTGGTACACTGCATATGTATACAAACATATAATATACCAATTCTTTTTCCCATTTTCATATATATTTCACATCTTCAACTCACATTAAAAAAATATTATGCATTTTTAAAAAAATTCGATGTATAATTCAAATGCATTGAAATAGAACTTATTTTAAAAAACATTAAGTGTTTTGATGTAAAATTGATAAGATAATTGATAAACTAATCTTTTTTTTTGTAATGATTAAAGCGATTTATTTATCATTATTATATACATATATATGTGTTTTAGAGTTATAGATATCACTATAAGTTTATGTAACAAATCTAACTGGATTTTTTTAATTATTTTGTTATTCATTTTAATTTTTAATCTATTTTTTAATTATTTTCTTATTCATTTTAATAAATATTATATGCTTTCTAAGTTTTGAATTTTTTTTAAACATTCCATATGCATACGCTTGTATACATAAGTAAAAAATGGAAACAATAAATATAAAAATTTTAATTCTTCTTATTCTATTACTCTCTCTTAGGTGTTAAAAATTACTAAATTTATATTTCCACAATGTGTTTATGCACATTGAATTAAAATTAGATTATATTTAATAAATTATATATGTGTTATAAAATGAAATAAAAAAATTTAGATAAAAAAGAAGCTAATAAATTATAATTTAAACAATAACATTTTTTAGGCCGATGTAGATAAAGCAGTGGATGCTGCTAAGCGAGCTTTTGCCCGAAATTCGAAATGGCGTAAAATGGATCCATATGACCGTGGACAACTTATGCATAAGGTAGATTATATTATACGAAATATAGTTTATGTGCAAACGCTAATTACACAATCTGAATAAATCTAACAAGAATAATAAAATAGTTGGCAGATCTCATTACGCGCGATTTAGATTATATCGCCACTCTTGAAACTCGTGATAATGGAAAAACGTATGCAAGTGCTGTAGGTGATATAGAAGCAGGTATCGCTTGTCTTCGTTATTATGCAGGCTGGTGTGATAAAATACAGGGAAACACAATTCCAACAGGTATTTGTATTATTCAAAACTATTTATGAATAATTGCTTTTTGCAAATATATGAAATTCTATATATTTGTATGCAACCACATACATGTAAAAGATAATATATAATCTGAATTTATATATAATAATATATATTGCTATATAAACAGATTATTAATCAAGGCTACCATTAAATCGAATGTATAAACTATATTTCATTAAATTTCGCATATCAATGGTTATTACTTTTTTAATATATTGATAAAGAAATGTATAAATTATAAATTAAACAAAATAATTTTATTTATTATTTGACTAGGCGATACCTACGTTACACTGACACGAAGAGAACCAATCGGCGTTGTAGGACAAATCATCCCTTGGAATTATCCCTTCCTGATGTTAATTTGGAAATGGGGTCCTGCATTGGCTACTGGATGTACTTTAATCTTAAAACCAGCAGAACAAACGCCTTTGACTGCACTTTATACAGCTGCTCTTGCTAAAGAGGCAGGATTTCCAGCAGGTGTTATAAATGTCATTCCAGGTTACGGTCCAACTGCTGGTGCAGCTATTGCTGAGCATTCAGAAATTCATAAAGTTGCTTTTACTGGATCCACTGAGGTATTTATATCTAAATAAATATATTTTATAAATAATATACGATAATTAATACAAATAAATTATGTTTTGCTTCCAGGTTGGACATGCTATAATGGCAGCTGCTGCTAAAAGTAATCTTAAACGTGTCAGTCTTGAACTAGGTGGCAAAAGCCCACTCGTTATCTTTGATGATGTTGATGGTACATTGTCATAAATAATCTCACATCTTTATTTAATCTTATATATTATTTAATGATTAATATTGTATTTTAATTTATTATAATATTAATATGCTATTATTATATAATATTAATTTATAGTGAAAGAAGCTGCAGAAATTGCACACGATGCTATATTTGTCAATCATGGACAATGTTGTTGCGCGGGATCGCGAACATTCGTGCACTCTAAGATATATGATGAATTTGTAAAGCATGCTAAACAACTGGCTCTTGCTAAAAAAGTAGGAGATCCATTTGACTCTAAAATTGATCAAGGCCCGCAGATCGATCAAGAGCAGTTAAACAAAATTATGGACTTAATAAATTCGGGCAAACAACAAGGCGCTGTTGTGGAAGTTGGTGGAAATCGCATTGGTGAAACTGGCTATTTCGTACAACCTACAATCTTTTCTAACGTAACCGACGATATGCGAATTGCCAAAGAAGAAATTTTTGGTCCCGTTCAAACGATTTTGAAATTCGATACCATGGATGAAGTAATTGAACGTGCCAATCGCACTAACTATGGTCTTGCCTCTGGTATAATTACTAAAGATATTAATAAAGCTTTGGAATTTGCCCAAGCCATAGAATCAGGCAGTGTTTGGTAAGTAAATAAATTTGAGTATACTTGGTTGTACGAAAATAAACAGTTATGTACACTGAAATAATAATTCTTAGGGTAAATTGTTATGATGCTATCACATCCCAGGCACCATTTGGTGGATTCAAACAATCTGGTATAGGACGTGAACTGTAAGTAATAATTAATCAGGCTAAATGGATTTAAATGTAATATTAAACTTATAATGTATGTTATTATATTTTTTAGGGGAGAAGAGGGCTTGAACGAATATCTTGAGATTAAAACAATTTCCATCAAAGTTACAAAAAATAATTAATATCCGTGACTAAAAGGAAATAATATACAATGTATCCCCTTAATTTTTGTTCTATCTTTGTCATAATTGATTTAAATAAAGCTACTTTAACAGATTGTTAATAAAATACAATAATATATACAACTAATATGTATAATAATTTATCTTACATAATAACAATATGAAAAACATGTTTCAGAAATTTTTAAAAATTATAACAGGATTGCAAAATAGATGAAAGAAACAAAGTAATGTTTCATATTTCTATTAATATTATAATTTTATTCTAATAAAATTTTGCAATCTCCTATTTTAGATATAAAGATAAATAGTATACCTTCATATATTACATGTGAAACTATCTATATACGAGTCACAGGCTCTTCATAATCATCTGGTGGTATACCTAATTCTTCATCCGTCCATTTAGAAGGATCCGGATATGGAACCTCTCCCTAATATATAACATAAATAAAGCAAAATTATTATATTAAAGAATATATATATATATATATATATATATATATATATATATATATGAATATGATATATGAATATTAGATCAGAACAAAAAAGTAACAGATATTAAAAATTATTTGATACTTACAACAATGTGACCGAAATCATGCCATAAATGCCATAATACCCACCACCACAATACGCCTCCTATAGCTTCAGCTGCATATACCCATTTCTTTTCTACTGGTGGGATTTCACGATATGACCATCCACTGACAACAAAATATTATGATATATTTGTAAAATATAATTGTTGTGGAAAAAAAAAGAATTTATAAGATACTTTTTCTACATTAACATTATATTACTATATATATTATAAGCACACATCGAGATATATATTCCGCATAATTCTTTTCATTTAATACGTTTGAACACTAGTAATAATAAAACACTGAGACCTAACCTACATAACATATAAAGTTACATAATAATCTTACTTACTTGTGACTTAATCTAACGGATCGTAAATTTGTCGCAGGAACTTTGTTTTGATTACCTCTATAGGCAATTCTTAATAAATTCAACCCCCGTGAAGTTATCATTGTGAAAAATCGTCACCTGCAATTGATCCTCGGTAAACTACACTTGCGCAGACACAGAACACAGGCACAGACAGTGCATGACGTAAAGGTGCCTCTACATGGCAGCATCAAGCGTCTGCGCAGAAAACCATTATCCGACCATTAGTAATGTTTTATAATATAATTAATTTACTAATAATAGTAGTATGTATAATGTTAATAAATATTAATTTTAATAAGTATTATATATTAGAATATCTAATTTTTTTTATCTCGTGTAATTTACATGTTTGTTATTCGTCGTAGAAATTCGAATCTTCATTCAGAATCCTGCGCAATGATACTGATAATGGTTTTCTGCGCAGACGCTCGATGCTTCCATGTATAGGCACCTTAAGACAGGTCAGGTTAGATTAAAGTAGAATAAATTGGCGCGCACTTTGACATATGTAATATGACGTATGTTATAAATAAAATTCTGAAATTAAAGCTAGCAATTTTTTCCCCTTTATACGATTAATCAAGAATTTATCAAAACGCAAAACGTGGATTTCACTTTTTTTATTATTACAAAACTCTAATAGTTTTGAAATAAAATAAATAAATCATTTCAAATTTTACTTCTGTATATTAATCATAATTTTTAAATCGAAATCATATCAACTTTCGCGATATACTAATTTCATATTAATTGTCGGTCGATTTTATATTAAATCGATTCATGAAATTATTTATTTATGAAATTTATTTCTTTAAATAATTTTTTGCATTATATCGAGTTTTGATACTTCGTGAGTTATTTTCGTTCTTTTTACATATTTCTATACATTGGTTAATCATGTTGTATTAATGCATTGATTTAAATCTCACCTAAATCGCTTTAAAATTTTCATGATTGTAAATTTTATTATCTAAATCTTGTCAACTAAACCGAAAAATTATTAAAACATGTCTCATAAGATGCTTGTAACGAAAATATTAAATCGCGTATAAAAGTTTCTACCGATCTTCTAATTGAAATTCGTATAGTAGTAATTTTCTTGTATTTGAAATTTGTTATTTTTTGTGACAAACGATTATAGACATTTACTTATTGTTAGTACAAAAAAGAATTACCTAATAATTCATTTAGCAATCATTGTATGCCACATTTTTGAACATATATTTATATTTATATTTTATTTATATTATGTTTACCTTTAATGTATAGTATATTTTTTAATATGATTTGAAAAAGAAACATTTCTCTTATTGTTTATTTTACTACTTTACTATTTATTTTACTATTTTACTATTGAGATAACTTACTGTTATTTTAATTTAACTTGTTTTCATCTTATTGTTAATAGTATCAAATGTTTTTAAAAAAAGAAAACACACATCAGATGTTTTCATCAAAAATATCTATAAACGTTCGTCATTATAATATAAATTAATTTACAAACATATAATTATACAAATTACTAATATACTTATTTTTACATATACATGTCATAAATCGAAGCAAAAGATATATAGTATATGTATATTTTCTTTAATTTTGGAGTTTAATTTTTGCAAGATAGTGCATACATTAACTATTTAGAATATGATTGTATTTTCAAGATGTGTAACGTATTTAAGTAAAAAAAAACTACCTGGTTGCCCTTTTCCATTTTGTCCTGTCCTTCTTTTACGAGATTAATTTATGACAGCTTAACAACACAAGTCGATGGAAGTCGTAGAAGTATATCAGCCGCGGAATGTTCGCCATTATCCGCGGTACTACTGAAACTTGGGGAGCAAAAGGGGCGCTCTTCTATATTAGGGGAGCGTCGCGGCTCGTTGCTATTGGCCAAGCAGACACTTTTACAAGCTGCAGCTTGAGGCATTTGGTTCCCGAGGTAGCAACCCTCCCGAGACCTATCCCGCATTGGTGCTTCAGCCATAACATGTGGCCCCCGGTCGTACCTAATATATTTTATAGAGGCCGTCGTCCAGTATCTTTCTCCGGCGAACGATCTCTTAACCGTAGATACGAAACATCTATGTAACCTGGAACTAAATTGTCTTTGCAAAAATGCATGAAGTAAAATAGCATAAAAATTTGAGTCAATAAAATATTAATGTTTTTCTTTATAGAAAAGAAACAAATAAAATGAATAATATTTTATATTTTTATTTCTCTATGATGTCGTATTCAGAATAATCTACGTGTATATTCACATTAGATGTCATAAATTAATTGTCTCATTTTTACTATATTTTACTTTTAACATATTTGCTGTCACAAATATAATCAACAGTATCAACTAGCGTAAAAAAAAACAATATTTAAATCAAATCCTGTTTTTACATATCTACTTATTGATATTATTTATATTTAATTCTCATTATTAAATTTCATAGAACTAGATATAAATGATTAACTAAATCAATTATATTGCAATATGCCAATTATTTTTATTATTATCAGTTACTGTCATCTTTATTTATCTTTATTATTTTCAGTTATTGTATTTTTTGTGTACACTTTTATATCGTATCTTATATTTAACTAAAATTGAAAATAGTAAAAATTGTAAAAAATTATGAAATATGTATATATAATTTAAACAAATTATTTATATCTAAAAAAAATATTTTATCATGCATCTAGTATAGTAAAAATATGAGTGTTTTACTTTTATGGTAATATAATTTTCATATTTTATATATAATAAATAAGAGACAAAAATGACTTTTATCGGTATTTTTACTTAAAAAATTGGCATATTTTAATTTATCAAAGATCTATTATTAAGAATCTATCATTAACAATTGTGATCTCATGGAGAAATAAAATATAATTTTAATTATTTAATTTTTATACTATGTATATATAAAATAAAAAAGAATTGATATATAAATGATATTTTTACATATATATTATACATATATTTTTATATGTTCATATATGCATATTTTTTTTTATATTGTAAAACTTTTAAAAATCTCTTTTTGAAATTGTAATATATATACTTATTTCTTATGTTTTTAATTTTTTTTTAATGTGATAATTTGTGTGTGTGTGTGTATATATATATATATAAAAGAAGTCATTTATCATAACAATTCTTCAATTTTTAATATGTATCTTTAACTGAACACAAATTCTATTGTAAAGTAAAATCTGTTTAAAATGAACAAAAAAAAAGAGAATATAGAATAAGATAATAATCGCGCTTATTTCATATACTACAATATATATTGTAAAACAATATATTACACAATAAGTCAATCAATCAAGCAATTCACTTGTAATATATGTAAGATATTATATTTCTATAAAATAATAGCACGCACGCTCTATCTCTACATAAATCAAAATAAATAATAGTTATCTAAAATTCATTAATGTTATACATTCCGTTTTTGTCAAATAATATATGTGTGTGTGTGTGTGTGTGTGTGTATTACAAATTCACCGGTATTAATAAAAAGTATTATAAAAAAATTTCGAGAAAGTGTCTCGTTTAAATCAACTACATTACATGAAAAAAATGTGTTTAATGAAATTAAGTTCCATATATTAATTTGAATATATTATAATTATTAATGTTTGCGGGATATAATTATGAATTTTTCCGAGAAAAATATTATTATACAAATAAGTTTTCTTAAAAAAAAATTATAATTTTATAGTTACAATACTTTTTATTGATGTTATCAATTTATTCATATTATTGTCAGTTTTAATTCTAGAGTATTTGTACCATTAAATTAATTTTTTATACGTAATTTGACTGGTATGCGATCATAAACCAGCAAATATCTCACTATTAGCTACACGCTTATTGACTAGACGTGTCAGCGCATCATCCGATTGTTAATTCATAATTTTATCATCACCATTTCGACTAGTATTATTAATGATCCACGTTTACGAGAACATTTGGCGGTTTTCCGCATACGCTCCGTTAAAATTAAGAAAAAAGGACGGCCTAAGTCGCACCCCTTTTATGACTGCATAAACGACATTGAATTGCATTGGATTGCAAATTCTCGAACACATAATAACGGTCTCATCGTCATCACCGTTCTCGTTGAAGAACGGGGTCTGTAGATTAGATGGCTCGTTCGATGGGAGATACGAGAAATATGTCAGCTCGTATCCTTCGTCATCCGAGGGGCCACCTCTTCTTGGTTGATGTGGCGCGCACGCTATTTCGTTCATCCCTTCTTGCCATGAATGTGCTCCCTTCCGATGCTGCGAAAGAGTGTTTCCATGGATACGCGGTCGGCCATTTTGCTCCATGATTCCGTAAGGGATGCGACTGGAGAAAATCCGATAAATTAACCACGGCTACGTGGGAAACTTCTAAAATGGCGACACATCTCCAACCATGGAAAAAATTGTATTTAATATATAATTTCCTACATTTTTATGTAATTTACTATTTTATTACACTTAAATAAAAATGTGTATATCGGAAGTTTTATTTGTTAATGTTGATGTATGTAATAGTAGTAAATTTAAAAAGAATTATTATATAAAATTATTACAATATATATATATATATATATATATATATATATATATATATATTAATAAAATCAAAACTTTTATGAATATTATACATGTTATGATAAAAATATTTGCACTAAACAAATTAAAGATAATTTTGACAATATTAATTTGGAAAGTATTGTAATTGTTTTTTTTTTTCAAACTTATTTATACAATAACATAGAATTGCAAGAACCTGAAATTATATAATTATATTCAAATTAATATCTGGAACAAAATTATTCCTTTATAGGAGCAACTCTTTATATACACGATTTCGAACAATCGATTCGAACAAATACTTTTCGCAAAATATTTTTATCTAAAAATACAATTACAATGTTTTTCATATCGCTAATATCTTTATTAAAAAAGACTTCCTATCTACTTTAATAGTTAGTGATTGTCAGCTACATATTAATCTTACAGTCATATGATAAAATAACTCAAACTAAAAATAGAATATAAAAAGGAGTTACTGCACCTGAAAATGCTAAAAAAACAGTAAAACTGGTGCGAGCCGAATATCTCCGAATCGCATTCTTTTCACGCATATTTGGCATTATTGTATGGCCAAGTTCCGCGATGTGGTGTTCCATCAACAGAAGGTTTAGATGAATGGGTTGCTAAAAGCACACTTTTATTGCGCCTGTAAATATTACAACCTCCAATATGTTCAGCTTGCTTCTTTTCTGTAACAGATCTTTCATAATCGAAAAGAATAAAATGTCTAAAGAATACTATTATATTATTATATTAAGAATACTATTATATTACTATTATGTTTAAAATTTTTATATCCTATGCATCCATGCATTTCTAAATATTTTTTATATAATGGAAAAATTAGTAATGTAAATAATTTATTAAATTTTTTCGATATTTGTGTAATCGCGGAAATTTAAGTTCTTGAGATGCTTAGATGATGATTTATAAATCAATAATCTTTATTGTAATAATTATGATAAAATGTCTGATAGTGTGTAAATTATATTATACACGAAATATTTAGATACACTTTACTCTTTGATTAATTTAGAATCGATTATTTCTTAGATATTTAGTTTAATATAATCTTTTTTCTTTTATTTGAACATAACTTTAGAATTTTCAACATTTTATAAATATCTTAATAATTAAATCTTAAAATAGAATTCTATTATATTGAAGCTATTCAAAATCAAATGCAAATTTTAAAATTATATTGATCAATTCTTATTTTTTTAAAACTTAATTTCCAAAGATACTTTTATCTTTATTGACTATAATAAAATCATTATTAATAGCTCAATACATATTTTTACTAAGAAAATATAAAATCCGAGAATGCACAATAAATTTAAATATTTTACTAACATTCTATACTTGTTTCCGTTACTCAAGATGCTATTAATACGAGTATTAAATAATAATGTATTATTTGATATATGTGAAATATTTTGATCTTACAAGATTAATTTAAAAAAAAATGAAATATTTGTCTCCTAATGTTAGGAATAAACATTGAAAATCAAACGATAATAACAAATATCACTAGCGATGACTAGTTATCGCTCAAAAGCTCAAAAGTCATTTAATCGTGTTCTATGACAAAGACTTGCGCACGGTTTCTTTTACTTGTCAATAAAAACGTGCCATGCCCTGTTTCCTTGGTAACGATGGTAGAATATATTTCCTCCTTCGCAGTAAAGTCTTCCAATATGTCTTCCATGAAAGTAGCAAAGAAGTCGTTGGCCGCCGGTACTTTTGATGCGGTAGCAGCTGCTGAATCGCCAATTGGTTTTGACAATCTATTTAGAAGGGCGATAAAAATATCATTCTTTTTTTTCAAGTTATTCGATATATCGAATCGCGATCGCGCGCGATATTATTTCTTGATCCTAAAAGACTGATGAAAAAATTGTATATCTGATTATTTCTTAATTTGCAACAGTATTTTTATTATAGATTTATTTATCATAAGAAATTTTTTTGACAAGTGATAATCTTGTATTTATGTTTTTTATTACTCTTATATTTTTATTCTAACAATAAGCAAAAATTAATAACAGTTGTCAAAATCTCTCTTATTTCTGTTTATCTGGGATTATATTAGCTGTCTGGAACTACATTATATGTATAGTAATCTTCATAAATTGATATAATTTATTTTTCTCTTACAAATAAAAAATCTTTTGTTATTAATGTATATAGTGAACAAAATCCGGTATATTTTTAAGTGATTAATAAGTTTTTTTTAAATTAATATCAATAACATTATTGTCTTTTAAAGAATAAATTAGATATGCTTGTATAAGAAAAATTAATTATAATCGATTACATATTTAAAATTTAATTATAGAAAAATATAAAAATAAACAAAAAGTATAAAAAGTATATCTGAAAATTCGAAAGTTTTAACATGTTAAAATATTACCATTACATCTTTCCTCGATTTCGTTATAAAAAGAAAGATTGATTAAATTGTTCACTAAACCTATCATTAGAAAATAATGCAGCTGAACGAGACATTTTATATAAATGTAAAAGTAAAAATAAATGAGTAGACCTATGTATTCTTCGATTTATTAACTATAAAAACGAATGATTTAGATAGGTATGCGTAATGTCCGGGTTGTATAAGTACGCAGGATAACAAGCTATAAATTTGAAGCAGACAGGAATGTTTGTGTACTAAATATACGATGTCTAATTTCTCACGCGTTAACCGCACTTTGTTAAGATAACGAGGACTAGAATTATTACTTACGGATCCTTAGAAAGTTAAGAAATCGTTTGCTCACACACTAACCGCCAATCATCGCTTCATAAAATTTCACCATACGTGTAAACCCATTATACGAATTTAAAGGTATTGTCCGAAGAATTATGTCGGTGTTCCTCATTAAGTGGTTTACCATCTCGTTTCTGTAAAAAAAAAACATTCTCTAACACGTAATCACTATAATTATATACATACGAGCGGAATCTATTTTTCATGTTATTGGTGTTTTTTTCAATTATATTATTTAAACAAATTTTATTCTTTAATTAATTTAGAATCAATTACCTCTTAGATGTTTAATTCAATTAATAAATATATTGAAATTGTATTTTAGGATTTAATTATTAACATATTTGTCGGAAATTAAAAAATATATTGAAATAAAAATGAAGAGATTATTTGCCGGAAATTAAAAAATATATTGAAATAAAAATGAATAAATAATCTTTATTCATTTTTATTTCAATATATTTTTTTAATTTCCGGCAAATATGTTAATAATTAAACTCTAAAATACAATTATGTTAAGCTATTCAAAATTAAATATAAATCTTATTTATCTTATCTAGTTAAATATAAATCTTAATTAAATATAAATTTTATTATTAATTTCGAATATATCAAAAGCCATTTACAATTGCTGAAAGTAGGAATTATGTGTATTAGATTCTGTGTGGAAATGCGTATAAAGCCATGTCTGAGCTTGTTGATATATTATCGGTTCATAAATTTTATATTTATTAGATGAATAGATGATAATATATTATAGCATATCCCTCTCTCACACATTTATTGTCAGCGGGTCTAAAAAATTTTTTTAGAAAAAGCTGTACATACATATTTTTGCATATATTGCGTATATCAAAATAAAAAAAATATGTACACATATATTTTTATATACATATATGATATGTACATATTTTGCATTTTTATTGTATAGCATAAAAACATTCCATCGTAACAGAATTGTGATCATCAATCGCAATTATATGATACGTTAACTAACCTCTAATAACGCCTCCATTCCTCGTTAATGGTATTTATGTCTTCGTCCATGATATAATTAACGCAGGCACACTTGCAACAAGTATTCATAAACGTGTTTGATGCGTGACATATGATCATAATCGAGCGAATAAAGTGCGATTTATGCGTCGAAAAAGCGCTCATAATATTCTCGTCTGTCGAGGCAAACTTCAAGATCTAACAAACGTTGACGCGAAAATGATTTATTAGATTAGCACATGTGTTGTTACATTTTGTACATACTTATTTGACCTCATCATTTTTCACACAAATGACGTGTTCGAAAGACACTTGATATTTTACGTCGCTCAGTCTCAACTTTGAGACAGTCGGCGATTGTACTCGCGCTACTGTGTATGCAAAAAAGTAAGTAACGAAGTTGTAAACAAAGCGTTCGCTGAGGGTTCAAGTCAAGTCTACGCACTTCTCCCACTTTACCCTTCCCCCACCATAGTTTCTTTTATAGTATTATTTCGACTATCGAACCGATCGCGTCAAGACGCGTCGCGTCCTCCCTCGGATTTCGCGTATATATGGATTATTCAATCTATATCATCGCGAGAGTGATAAAGCAATTAGATAATGAATATATATTATAAAACGTTCGTCGATAAGTAGTAATAAAAATTATTGTATGATTTTCGTTTTCGTTAATGCCGCGTAATTATTCGCTATATTGGGTTAATCGATAATTTTAACTTTGATAAGAGATTTATTACATCGTTGACAATTTTTTAAGCATTTTAAACAAGAACGGAGATTAATCGATTAAGAAGTAAATTGATTTCATGGCATGCAAATAAGAGATACGTTTCATTTGTCAAAAATGCTTCGAATTCCTTGATTAATTATTCGGGAGAAGAAATCTACCTCATTTTTAAACTCCGAAGGTTTAAGTAAAGTAATAAGTACAATTAATCAAATACGTATATAATATATATTACTCTCTATTGATTTTTATGTATATGTATTTTTTGTGCATCTACATAAATTAATCAAAATAGACTATCAATCAAATAATTCAAAGTATTTATGTCAAACATACGCAGTCTAGTTTTACTTAAAAAAAATCGAATTTTTTGATTAATCCATATATATATAATCCATACATTAATGTCGCAACATTTAGTAGAGTATTCAAATTTTCACATTAATCAGATAAATTCATGTAGCTCAGTGTTTTTTAATTAGATCGCAGCGCTCTGACGAAAAAAAAAAAAACAGATTGTCGTTAATCTACGTATCGCACTTGTTTATGGTGTACTTAACGGTGAAGGCGCGAACGGTTGTGGCGTCGGAATTTTTGCGGCGTAAAAATAATCATGATCGAACATTAGTGAGTGTCGAAGGTCGGAAACAATTAAATAACAAATAACGCTGTCATTTACTCGTGTTTCGCGTCATCTTCAAATTGCAATTTTAAATTGCCGCGAATAAATATCGTTGAGAATTAAACGGGAACAGAGTATATTTTTATGTTGCTAGTTTCAAGTAGTACGTCAAACGTATTCGAGGTCAACGTCGCGTGCGCATATATCTGATATATAATAAATAAATATCGGGAGTGCGTAAAACAGTATCGTGCGTAAATACGGTGTATCGCGTGTGTCGTGTGTTATCGAAATTTCAAAACTGAATTTTTCGCGAGTGAGTGCATTTTTGTGGATCAACCCAGGATTGGGAGAAATTCATCGTCGCGACGACCGTTGGAGGAATCATGGCGGTGTCGACCAGTCGACCAGTGAGTAAATTTATCTATCATCTATTATCATATTACACTTTATCGAACAATAAAGAATTGCCCTCTTATAAGGGTAAAAAAAGGAGCGAAAAATGTTTAAAGCTATGCGCGTGAAATATTAATATATCCGCTAAAATTCATGTCGAATATTAGAGTATACGATTTTTCCAAGATGTCTTCCAAAATGTTGCCTTACACTTGAAATATTTTCTCTCGTACTATTTACTTGCAATACTAGTACATATATTTATTCCTGTTGACATTGTCTATTTAGTATTTAGAAAATAATTAAGATGAAGAGAGAATGTTAGAAGATCTTATATCAATATATTTAATTCAATATCTAATTTTATAAAAATATGAAAAATTACTACCGCGAATAACTGTTTGCCACAAGAGATAACTAATGTCTAAGCATTCTATTATACCGACTGAAAATTATTTTGGAGAGCTTCTTTTCCAACATATCCCTTCATATGAGTTATTCACTATGAAAATTCTCGCTAGAGGGCAATTCTTTATATGAGTATTTTCTTTTAATTACAGTATTGAAAGCTATAAAAAGTAAATATGCAGAAAAGAGAGAAATTTTATGTTAATTTTCTTGAAAACTTTTCAAGAAAAAATATTTAAATTCGTAAAGAATAGTTATATTGAATTAAATTTGTTTATTAATAATACAAGAAAATATAAAATGATATAAGAAAAAAATATATAAACTAAATTTTTTAAATATTTTTGTAAATGGTAAAAGATTTGTTGAGATAGTTATTTGATATAATAATAATAATATAAAGTTATAATAAAAGATACACAAGATTCTAATACAAAAAAGATAAAAATAAGTTAAAGAATAAATAAATACATTAAAATAGTATACAGACATTTTTATTTTTGATATAAATACAAATTTTAAATTAAAAATATTATTTATATATTTTATCTTTTGTGCATATTTATCTATTTTGCCAATTACCGTTAAATTGTTAATATTTTATTTAATCATATCGTACATATTGTATTGAAATGAATGGAATGATACTTTATATCTTTATATTATTACTATACAAGAATGAAAAATTATTTTTTCCAACCATAATTTCTTTTGTTGCTCAGTGAGATGTATGAAATGCAAACATAATGTTTGTTAATTAATCGCAGCTATTTTTCATTCTAATTTTTAAATTATAATATAAACGCAAAATCTATAAATATTTATTTTTATGCAAAGAAAAAACATTTTTATAATTTATGTAACTAGTTTAATGACAATTATTACATGATTTTTCAATTTTATTATTATTATTTCGTGTTGAGTATATCTGCTGTATTTTTAATATTTTGAAAAAATGTTCAATTATTTAAATAATATATCATAATCAACCAAATTTTTCTTATAAATTGGTACATAAATTATATTTAAGAAAGGAAAAAAGAAGAGAAAGAACTTATTACAGAATTTCTCACATTTTGCAATTGTTACTAATACATTGACGCGAATTGGGAGGGTTTAAACAAAATATAAAGTGGAAAAATTCTGTATATTATAAATATTTTTTCTCTTTCTCCTTCGCGTCATCGATCCCGACTTTTTCCCGCCGCGACAGGTTTCTGAATTGACACTTTATTTCACTCGAGAAAACGGCATCGCAGGTTCGACTACGAAAAGCAACGGCATATAACTTTGAAAGATGCACCGCGTATTTGTTCGTACACCGCGATAATCAGTCGAGCAAACAATGAACGAGTCGTCTTTGGCGACGGCCGTCGGATCTCGAAGGACTCGACTGCTTTCAGCAACCATGACGAGCGATCAGTTTCTCTCGAGTGGCACATCCGACTGCATTGCATTCATATATTTATAGTCCATTATTATTGATTTCGCGTTATCCTTTCTTGCGAGTGCTCGTTAAATACATAAATTGAGAAAAAAGATTATTACAGTGATAAATTGTAAAATGTTTGCTTCGTTCTCGTGCCATAACTTGTGGATTATCCTGCCAGACTGAGTGAGTGAATATATTAAAACGCACGGTAAACTTGAGATATTAATAGATGAGATAAAAATGTTTTTAATCCCCGATTTAACGTCGTGATTCATCAAATATCTGCAAATTTTTCTAAATTATTGTGCAAAATTAGTTTCCTTACAAATTGCCAATTGATTAAAAAATACATTTTCTATAAAAAAAAAACCACATTGTATAGATATTTTTTAAAAATATTTATTATAGTTTAAGGACACAAAAAAATGAGAAAATGTCTAGAGAAAGAAAATCGTTTCTTTATCATACGATTAAATGAAATTTGTTAGATTTACTCCGAATATTATTTTAATCCCCGATTTAACGTCGTGATTCATCAAATATCTGCAAATTTTTCTAAATTATTGTGCAAAATTTTTCTAAATTATTGTGCAAATTTTTCTAAATTATTGTGCAAAATTAGTTTCCTTACAAATTGCCAATTGATTAAAAAATACATTTTCTATAAAAAAAAAACCACATTGTATAGATATTTTTTAAAAATATTTATTATAGTTTGAGGACACAAAAAAATGAGAAAATGTCTAGAGAAAGAAAATCGTTTCTTTATCATACGATTAAATGAAATTTGTTAGATTTACTCCGAATATTATTTTAATCCCCGATTTAACGTCGTGATTCATTAAATATCTGTAATTTTTTCTAAATTATTGTGCAAAATTAGTTTCCATACAAATTGCCAATTGATTAAAAAATACGTTTTCTATCATAAAAAATTCACATTGAATAGATAATATTTTTTAAAAATATTTATTATATTTTGAGGTAGACACAAAAATTTCCAGTCGGGATACGATTAAATGAAATTCGCTAGATTTACTCGGAATATTATTTATACAATGACCTCTCTGCGAATGTCGTGTCGTACGTTTATTATCAATCTCCGTATTACGCTTACGTAAAGACGGCGGTAAAATACACTAAAATCCGCCGGCAAATCGAGACGAGTCGCCGTGCGTGAGATCTTTACGAGTCAACGTCATCATCGTAGTCGCGGAGCGAGAAGCGAGGAGCGCAGGGACGCGACAGAAACGTCAAACTGGGAGAAGACGTAAGCACGTTGTTTTTATAATACACGTTAAATAACTTTACGACGCCTCAAGTATCGTGGCAAATTGATTTCGTAACGACAATCACGGAATTAATGCACAATAAAAGTATCATGGCGGCAATTAAGCCGAGCACTTGCTTAACTGTGAATCGCTCGCGGCATTTCAGTCGCGCTTGGGAGCGCCGAATGAATGATACATAAAACGGATCGAGTGTTTCCGCGGCAATTTTTTTTCTCATCGTCGAAACATTGTGCGTTTAGAGGGATGAGGGAGAAATTGATAGGCGCGATTCGTTGCCGTAAAAGCGGCTTGATAATCAATCGGATGTATCTCGAGATATTCGTCCGTCTCGCGCTTCGTGCATTCTCGGGATATTTTATTATATATCGGCGTTATATTATATATAGAAAATTTGCGAGCGACAATTGCTTGGACAAATGCGAGATGCCCCGCATTACGTTTGCGATATTAGATCGTCGTGAGCGTCGACGGAGCCAGCGAAGTCGCGGCGCCGCGTTTCGCGCGCGTGCGTTTGTGTACACAACTATTAAGTGCTTACATTTA